CAAATTATTTTCTCTCCATTCATATCTAAATTTTCTTTAAAGCTAATTTAATAAAAATTTAGCACGTTGGAACTTTTTCCTGGTCAAACGCGACTTTTCAACCTTCACACGATCATAACTTCTCTCAAAGTTAGTCATTTGGGAAGCTGAACGCGCTATGAAAAACTAGAGGATTCGAGCTTTCTAACAAGTACCCTAACATTGCTGAAAGGTCAGTACTTCAAAAATTAGTCCCGTTGGGACTTTTTGGGGGGTTCGCGGAACTATTTTTCTGAAACCGCGACTTTTCACCTTCAAACGATCATAACTTCCTTCAAACTCATTTATTTGGGAAGCTGAACACGGTATGAGAAACTAGAGGGTTCAAGCTTTCTAACAAGCACCCCAACATTCCTGAAAATTCAGTACTTCGAAAAATTAGTCCCGTTGGGACTTTCTTTTGAAGGGGCATTCTTCAAGTCATTTTCTTAAGAACGTGGGTTTTTCTAGGTTTCACAGGCCGCAACCTCCAGGGAAAACAATATCGTTTTGACCATAGGATGTGTTAGAATGCTTCGAGCACGTGCTTGCAGTGGCATACCCTGCTTCGGTGTGCGCCATGTCTCGGCCGCGCTTCTGATTCGCTGATTCGATTGAAAGGTCATTTAGAAGGAACCGGATTACAGATGCTCTACTATCAATTTTCTTGCGTAAACAAAGTGGTGGACCATGGTTTCTTAGGCAGTACTCCAGCTAAAAATTAGTTTCATATATGATTTCGTGGGTGGACACATGTCATGGTGCGCTTTTTTTTTGAACGATGCTAAATGTCTTGCAGCTACTGTTTACCTTCCTCTATCATGTTCTTTCTGAAACATGCTTGTGTATGGGATGCATATTGAAGTCTTATTGAATTTGGAAGCAATTTCGAGATGCCGATCCGCCGACCAGCGAGATAGTACGCCCCCCCCCCTCCAACCTAAACCAAGTACGACCCCCCCCGTTGGTACTTGTACCAACGTAGGGTTGACCCTGGTCACAAACGCCTAATGAGCATGGCAGCACGCTTAGCAGGACCCTACGCTAGTTGTCCATACCAATGATTTTGGTAGATGATTTCGCCTTCATCCGCTTTCTGCGATAGAGCTGACACCAACTGAGCGTGCATGGTGATTTTGTTCGATGTAGTCTTCGAAGTTATATGCCGATCCTTTCGGGGAGGTCTTGTGATTATCCTGGTACTCTCTTATTTTATCCGTAGTGAGAGTTTGGAGTACCAGGCTACGGTTTTCCTTGAACATCCAGAAATGGCTTCGATGGTCGTGGTAGAGCCATAAGGCGCATGTAAAAGCATCGTCTGGCTTCCACTCACGGAGGGGAGGTGATCATTCGAAACCGCAGTTCCAATAGAGTTGCCATACACTTAATAAGAGCTACTTCCGTTGATGGTTGGTTAAAAAAAATTTACAGTAAAGAGAATTGTGAGGGGTGTCCTATGATTTTGCAACGGCTCCAAAATCAAAAAATTTATCTAAAAGTACGGAAACAAATCGGATAAGCTGGTAAACTGTGAGTATAGGTTTTTCATGAAGGCGATTCTGATTTTACAGGTGTCGTTGAACGACGTTTCAACGAAGCCGAGATATTCCACATTTTTGGGGGTGCCCTATGATCTTGCAACGCACTGTATTCACGGAACGAGGGCAAGGTGTGACCTATACCTTGGCGGGCTCTTTTAAATGTTTTTCGCATTTTAAGAAATGGAATCGGCGTCTTTACGTCTAGATTTTCACCATCAACAAATTGAGATTCACAACACGTTTCTGCCTTTGGTGGAGACTGTGTGTTACATCTCAAAAAGGCACGGTATGTTCCTCTACCGAAATAAAGAAATAACCTCCGCAGGCCGACCTTCACCATTTATCTGCCCCTGCTTTAAAGGCAGCTCGCATGGTGATCTCGAGCATTCTTCTTCTCTCTCTCTGATTACATTCATGCAATAACTGAACAACAGTCTATTTCAAATTATTATATATTGGGCTGGAGAGCGTAATAGCGCGCTTGCATTTTTCATTTCTTCACACAAACATTTGAAGCAAAAAATAAAAACATAAAACTAATCAGTGATCTTCACTTCGTCATTATTACAACTTCGACTGCATTTCGCACGAGATCACCGGACGTAGAATTTCAAAAAAATATTGAGCTCACTTTCGGGGTCCTTCTTATTCTCAATTTGTACGAAATTAATAGGGTTCTGACTTAAGCGTAATAGGTGGGGTCGGATAGAGCAAGGTTTCGTTTAGAAGAATGGATTTGAAAGAACTTCCATTTTGACGTTTTTTCTTATTTTTTCGAACCGAGAAACAGCAGCTGTCGAAACGCCGATTTTTGCTGTCTGGATTTTTCAACTTCTAAGCTCTATACTTGGGTACATCTACATTGTTGAAGAAAAAGACAACCACGGTTTCGTAGAGCGAGAAGAATACTTTCGAAGGTTATGAGTAGTTTTTCGAAGGGTTCTTATACTGATTGGATTTATAAGCTTTAAAAAAACGCTACGGTATTATGCTCCAACATAAATACAAGAGCGTACACTAACAACGCGCGCACACACTGGTCATCTAATTACCTAGAAGCACAGGAACAGAATTAATGAAGTGCGAAGGAGGCATTAATTCAAGCCATTATCCTGCTTCAAAGCTTGAGAGCTCCGTTTGGTGTTATTTTAGTTTCTGATCCATCCTATTCCGTGCTCTTGTCTTTGCCTATCTCGACTTCAACAAATTTGCTGCAATTATGTTTTGTACTGTATGCCGAACGAGGTTTTTAAGATGGAATCTTTATTGACTGGCCTGACGTTTCGACAGCTTCGTCTTCTTCAGAGGCCTGGAGATAGTCTGAAGCTTTTGATTCGTTCGTATAGCATACAAGTACATAAACATAATTGCAGCACCATTTAAACATCAAAGCAGAGGTTTTCCACCCGAAAGGACGGACATGGAGACCTGCTTTCACAAACTCTTTCCCTATTTAATTTCTTGCTCTCTTTGATAAGGTATTCTCACTGTCCTTCTAGCAGAACCACTTTCATCTTACAATAGGGCATAACATCGAGTTGAGTTGATTTTGGGAGTTGCAGCTTCGAAGACCGACAAGATAAGGCTGCATACACACATTTCAGTTGTCGGTGCAAGCTCCCACAACACCACGCAAACATGCCGAGAGACTTACGTAGTCGAGCGGGCGTAAGCTCGCAAATGATAAGAAATGGAACTGTTCAGCGAAATTCGTAGGTGTGACGCCCCTAATTTTTGAAACTCTAGATTCTTCTGCACCGCTGTGTACAGGGAACTCCACAGCATTATCCTCGTAGAAACCATGTATCTGAGCCCGGGTGGTAAGGTTAAGGCAGGATGTGCAGCAAAGTCGAAGAGATTGCCTCAGAGTCAGATGTTTGTCCTTTCACTACTCCATCGATGTTCTTATATGCCGCTCGTTTCCTCCTACTCATCAATGGAGCTAGGTCGTTGATCAGGTTGATTTCGCGACCAAGGAAGCCACAGCTTGCAGAACATTTGGAAACGGCCCTTCCGTTGAACATGAACGGGACATCGTGAACCTGTGTGTCTCATAACATCCTTGTTAGGTTAGCTCAGACCAATATTAACACAGAAGCAGCCGAAGTAGCTAGCATTCGCTCTGCTTGCTCGATGTTGAGTGTTATGAGCACGACGTCTTCACCAGAGCGGAGATGGTGCAGTTGTTGGTCTTCGCTCCCATTTCCTCCCATTCCAGTTGACGCATCTCAAAAGCGGCCGTGGAACGACTGGGTGAGGTGGTGTTCTTCCCGTTTAACTCTTCTCCTTATGTCGATAATGGCTTTTCAGTACAATATTGCGGTGGGCGGCTCAGGGGTTGTCTCGTATAACTTCAGCGATTAAATCGATAGATTCGCACGGGTTCAAAGGTACGACGCGTATGGTGCTCACTTGCACGCAGTGACGATAAAAACCTGAGAAATCCAAGTCAAGAAAGCGCAAACTGGACCGCCTTTCTTGGCCGTTCTTTTTCACTCATAAACAAATAGTTAACAGGTAACAGCTCAGAAATCGGACGTATGAACGCGTTTGGTAGCAGCATGTCCCAATCGAGTTGCTCCAGTTGTGCCGCTGCTGGCAACGCAGCTCGTCCAAATCACCAAGTAAACTAGTGGGCGGATCGCTTTTGGGGGCGGAGTGCTTTCGAAGTCCTGCTCAGCAACCAGCGCACCTTTCGTCGTGGAAGCGCCACATCTCGCTTCCTTGGCAGCCAAGTAACTGCTTCGTGTGGTGCATATGCTTCCCCGATGCGCTTCCTCTTTATCGTAATCGCTGCCTTTAAAGGTTCTAAATCGACCACAGCGATCATAGTTACAGGGTATTAGTATGAACCATAGGGTACAATGTGGCTCGACAATGCTAAAAGAAAAAACACCTGTAAACGCTCTGAGTAAGGCCTTATTTATGCTGATCTATGTCCGTTGTACGACCCTTAGAAGAAGAGGGAGTTAGAGAATGGGAGTCTTTGGTGGCATGCGAGGATGGGAAGTAGAGATGAGCTGAGGGGGGCGTTCGACGGTGGAGGCGGATGTAAAACCACTTGGGCACAATGTCGTCGTTTCTGGGGCGCCTTTTCAGCAGTAATGACACATATGTTCTCCAGTACCAGTTCGTAGTGTTTGCGTAAATATATTTGCTAAGGATGAAGCAGTCAGCATTTTTCAACTCCTTTCTGTAAAGCTGCACATGTTTGGCTTCCATTCAGAATCGCAGAGGCGGCGCTACAATGCGCATTTTGCTTCACCTAAGGGACCGTATAATCTAATTAGTACTGCTTCCTCCTAGGAGTGCGTAATACCGACTCATAAGAGATTTAAAGATAGTTTGACCTAATGAGTTTTACCCGAGATATGACCCATAGTCATGCGATTTATTTTGGTATAACTTGCCACAACTCCACTTCTGCTCAGCACCCACAACATGAAAAACAGAGGCTGGTGTTCAGTGCATATCTACCATCTCTTATTGTGTGAGCACTGCAGCAAGCAGATTCTTTCGGTTTTCATACACTCTCCTCATACTAAGATTACGATAGTGTTTAGAGGGGGGTTAAAGGACAGGTGGGGGTGCTCGTTGGCATGCCAATGGCGAAAAAAGCACAGAAATCCGTCAAGAGAACACAAATAGGACACCTTTAGCCGTTGTTCCCTCTCTAGGACGGGCACCGGCTCAAGAAGGCGGACGTATGGACGAGTTTACCGCAACGCGTTTGGTGGCACCATGCCAAACCACGCTCCATCGAGTTGCTCCAGTTGTGCCGCTGCTGGCAACGCAGCTCGTCCAAATCACCAACTAAACTAGTGGGCGGATCGCTTTTGGGGGCGGAGTGCTTTCGAAGTCCTGCTCAGCAACCAGCGCACCTTTCGTCGTGAAAGCGCCACATCTCGCTCTCTTGACAGCCAAGCTACTGCTTCGTGTGGCGCATACACTTACCTGATAAACTCCTTCTTACCGGACTCGCTTCTCCCAGAATATTTTGGAGAGTTACATGCTTTAAAATTCTACGCAAATATTTATTGTGCCGATACTTTGAATGAAGCCTTCTATTTTTCGTGGTGATAACTTGAGAAATTAAGGCTTCGTCAATATGTACAGTGCAACAAGCCCGATGAACGAATCCGATTCCGAGAATGGCTCTGAACAAGGTGAGCTTATAACCTATCTATCTCAAACCTCACTGGATCATGTGGTCTTGGCAGCATAAGTGCTCCGCTGTGAAATAAACAGTCCTAAGCATACATCGTGGTGGTAGTGATGGTATGATTTGAGTTGACTTCGTCACAGTGGTACTCACTGACAGCATACTGTAATACGTTTACACAATCCTTAATCACTGGGTTGTTTATTGCATCCAAAAATGATAATAAAGATTCAAGATGAACCACTAGTGAGGTAAAATCAAGAAAAATATCCCTCAAAATGTGGAAAATAATAACTAAAGAAAAAGAAGTGAGACAGTATAAGAGGTATTTTACGCCGAGCAGAAGCAACAATTTGAGAAGAGAGAGCATATCAGACTAGCGAGACACAGACAGACCGCGTTAGCCGTTCCCAGAGGAGTAACAGCTTATCATCGAACGATAGCATCACTGTTAAGCTCTAAAGCTTTATACAAGATGAGATAAGTTTCGGATCGCGATTTGTGGCGAAAATCAGCAGTCAGTGAAGCAAAATCAGTGGCAAGCTTTGTAATGCACCTTCAAGCACCAAAAACAATAAATCATATATTTTGTAGGCAATTTCATCCTGTCATAAAAATGGACCACTCTACTTAGCTCCAGCTTTGAATGTGTCTTCAAGGGCAGTGGGTACCTTGGCCATCAGGGACGGGGTGAGGGGGGATAGTATTGAAGGAAGGGGATGGCCGAATAGGTTCCCGCAGAAATTGAGGAAAGAATTATCATATGAACTTACGAAGCCAATACAAAGCCAAACTGGTTGAAGCTTCACCAACACCGCTTTCTCCCATTCGTGTAATTACTGACTTTAATAGTAATTCTGTTCATGAAAGAGGTCAACGAAGCCTTTTGAAACTTTCTTTGTCCCTCTCTTATAATTTGGTTTGGTTTCGTTTTATCTGAGCCTCATTCTTAAATTATCAGCGTCCCAAGAAATTCTTCTGTTCATGTATATGTGATTACCAAGACACAATTCTTTAGTAGTGGGAATATAGATTGGGTTCAGCCTTTCTGTCTTCATATCGGCGATGTGTCAAAACACGTCAGACTGTTTGATCAAGGTGACCCCACAAGCGCTAATCCAGCGTTACCTAGCAGCATATCGCAGCAATTCTTCCGTGTCGAAGTCTTCAAAGTCTATGGGTCGTCTCGTTTGTGAGGGTAACGGTTAGAGTCAATACAATTCGATAGCTTTTCTTATCATTGAATGGTTGATCATGATATGCTTGTATAACACCTTCTTCCCACGCAGTAGCAGGGGGGAAATATTATGATTTCCTCAGAGTATCCAGTGGTAGATAGTTCTGGACGTTAAGTAGTTTCCAGTCACATTTACGTACACTTTTCAAAGCCTATAAACATTTTTGAGTCCCTCGAATCTCCTTCGGAATCAATTATGACTGAAGGTTTGAATCACTGGAAAGCTCGCTGTAAATTTTGATGTATAAAGATGCATCGAGGTCATCACTCCGAAGATTTTCCATGGAACGGAAATTTAACGTAATCCAGGGAAGTAGCCAACCCTCAGCGACCTTGTTTGGGATTCGGCGCAAGTACTAATTAGCGTCTCGCGTGGAATACAATAGCGTGATCTCCTTGTAGAGTGGTAAACTTCCGGTTGCAAAGTGGATAACTGAATCACGACTGATCTTCTTACGGTAGGATCCATGGCGCTCTATGTTGGGATTCCTCGTAGGGAAGGGGATCCTTTTTGACTCTTCGGGGAGGAGATAATGATGGTATGGTTGTGTGGTCTCAGAAGAGTGAATAGGACCCGTATAGGATTTAAAAGCTTCTGTGGTGATTTCTTAGATTTTTTGGGAAATTTTTACGAACCTTTGAGAATTTCACGTAAAACACACGTTTTGCTGTGTTGAGTATTCTATACAAGGGTTGGGGGAGGCAAAAAGAAGATATTTTGCCTATGTCACACTTTAGCGATTTTTCTTCGCAGAGATTGCCGCGTTGACGGGAGTTCCTCAGCAAAGTATTCCCTAAATGTCCCTCTATAAGTAGACGCAGGCCCTCCTTCACTGCCCTCACCGTCTTCAGAATATGACGTCATCTGCCATCGTCGTCGAGCTCAAGGAAGGCTACTATCATGGCTCCGGTTTGAAGCTAGCGTGCAATTTCTTCAAATGGTCATCTGATTGTGGTTTCCAGGAGATAGTAGCTCCCAATATGCAAGCTTCCGCCTCCCCACGGCTATCTCTTACGATTCCCCCCCCCCCCTCACAGCTGTCATCTCACGAAACCTCGTAATTCTATTGTACGACCCATCGAGAAACCGTTGAGTTCGATCCGTGCATCATGTTTCCGTGACAGATTTTTCTGACGTCATCCGCGTTGAAGGTTATTATGAAATTCTTCTGTTAATAAAACATGCTCCTCAGTTATAATCCGAGAGCATACGAAGTAAAAGCAAAGTGTGGGTTCAATTTTGAATTTGGAGGCAAAAATGCCTTTTCACTGCCGCCTTCCTTTATATACCTCCCACTCTCTGTGCTTACCACCACTCAACTTGACAGACAGACATTTTTCTGGCATGTCAGGTTGAGTTTCAGGAAGGATTGAATAGTATGAGGGTAAGAAGCATGATTAGTCGTCCTCCGGCTGATCCAGGCAGAGCCGTATCTTGAAGTTAAAGGGGTTGTGGTGTGAGGAAAGGGGGCGTTTTCGTTGTTTCGACGGCCTTTTGGAAATTTAGGTGGAATTTCGACAGATGAAATGATGAAACAGACAAAATCGGAGCACCTGCCATTTCTTGAGACATATTTATGCTAATGATTGGATTTGCCATTTCTTGAGATTCGTTTTGATCCTTCTGCTCCCTGCCACCCACAATCGACAGTAATTTTGGAGGGAAAAGTGGGTGTGGACGGAGCGTGTCGACTGGTTGCAGAATCAAATTTTCTAGCAAATATTATAGAACATTTATGGAGTTGAAGTGTGGTAGAGGAGAGACGCAAAAAAAAACTGAAATTTGGGAGGACTGATGGCTGACCTTGGTAGGACCACTGAGATGAGGATTTGAGGTTGGGGTTTTATCACTTTGTTTGGGGTTGTATCACTCAATGGGCAAGGGTGGGGTCAGAACATTACAGCAATATCAATATTAAATACAACATAACTAATGTAAAACAATAGTTCAAGAGAAAGATATGAAGCTGTCGCAAAAATCTTTCAGTGGAAGTAATTACGACGACGATTACTAGGTAGGACGGGATTTCGTTCGGAGTGTAGACGATATTTAGGGTTTTTTCAGACCTTGAGTATGGTCCTGGAATTGTCGAAAAGCTTCGAGAGAAATTCCAACGCTTATCCGGGATGGTTAGCCGTGACGCTAAGGTGAATATGTTTTTTTTTCATCGGACTAATCATAGGTACGCGAATTTCCTATTGAGGGAGAGTAAAAAGTGTTATTTGTTAGGTTTCTCCCCACGCAACCGGAAAGAGATGCCCATCAGTGGACGACATCCTCTCGACAGCCGGAGAGGAGCCAAGGTAATGCGTTTTCTCGAAAAGCAGTTACAATAAAAAATCTGCAAGGTGCAGCAAAGGCTCACTTTCACAAATGTGGGCGGTGTTGATGTTGACATCCTACGGCCTCAAAGACAGTGAGTACGGTAAGCTGATTCTGCAATAAGGAAGTTTATGCAACAGCTTAAGCGGTAGTCAGAGCAAAGGAGTCTAGATGTAGCGTTTTAATGGCCTATGATGCTCTAGTTCCGGCTGGGCTTGGCTTCCAAACCTAGAAACTTCACCGCCTCAAAAGTGCCCTAGCCCCTAACTATAGTTTTCAACTTTGTGAGAACGTTATCAGTGGCGTTCGATTTTCACTTTGAAAATGGACTGCGTATCAAACGACCATAATTTGCAATCTTGTCGCTTCTCATACCATATCGGTGCATATCTACTTAAATGGGCAGAATCAGGGCCATGCAAAGTCAAAAAGCAGAATGACGTTCCCAGTTTTTGGGTTTTTGACTTCAGTTGATCGAATTTCTATGGCCTCTTAATGTATATTATCGCTGCTTCAAATTAAAGAAAAAGAAGCATGCAGCTCAAAAAAATACTCAGCTTTTCACATTGATGATTCCTTTGAGGTAATGAAACCCATATTGACCTCGTGGAATAAAGCCTCGAGAATGCTCTACCATTTATTAGTCATAAATGTTACCTATGAATTTTTCAGAAAAAAAGAAAATTTTAGAAAGAGTGTTGCAGAACTTTCTTTCCAACCTAATAGTTCTGTCCATCGCTTCCTCCTTGTCAGAGGATTTCCTTTAATTTTGACTAGGCATCTTGTTGCACACAAAATAATTGGCGATGATGAATTTTTCTAGGACAAGCTACGTATTCTGCTCTATTTCCGGTCGTATTTCAGGAAAGACCCAACCATTCGATAAAAATGATCATCCTCTTTCAGTAATCGTTCGATTTTCGGCAAGTGGACAAGCAGCTATGCCGTTTTCATCACTGTCACGCTAAATTCGAATCCACTGGTGATATGATGAGTAAGAATTCTCGTTTTCAACAGTTTCTAGGTATTGAAACAATCGAACAGTCAAAAAATTTGGGTGTCCCTCGAAAGGGCCGTCGTGCGGCGAAGGAAGGACGCAGACGCGACAAAGGACGAGTCGCAGCGCGTGTGGTGCTAGACTCTGTTTAAAACTTTGAGTACTGGCTGGGACCTGTGTCCACTTCGTGTCAAAGGACACTACCATGTTTCAGGGACATGTTTTGAGGCAGGAGCGCTCACTTGTGTGGTTTGAGTGTGAATTATATAGAGCTTCGTATTCTCGCAATGATACTTAATCGTCAGAAGCTAAAGCGAGTCATCCTGTAAGTTAATCTTTGACTACTGGTGGTACACATGTGTCCCACTTCCGTAGTCAAAGTCACTACCACAGTTTTGGCACTTATTGAGATCGGAGGGCCCGCTTTATGGCGGAATTGTGCACAACTAGAAACTTGGTAATTCTTACTCTGTCAGCGAAGTATCAGAAGTCTAAGCGAGTTACGCTGGATAAGTTGATAAGCAAGTCGTTCCACAGGTCACTGGGCAGTGTGCACAGCTCCCGAAAAGGTAGTTTTCGAGTCTCACACTCTTTGTATTGTGTTGATGGTTCTAATATTTCCCTCAATTATTGTGAAACAGGTGAAACATAAGCAAACCGATGATGATGGAGGTTTTTATCGGCGCGTAACCAGCTCAGAGGAGGACAGCGTTTTACGACTGCGTTGGGAAATTCCAACCTCCGGAATTTTGTCAGTTCGTTTGATGCGGAAGTGGTAGTAGAACACTCCTATGATGATGCGCAGCTTTCGAGCATAAAAACCAGCGAAAATTCGTTAGAGGAGAAGCAGCCGGTGGGCGCAGCCTGTAGGCAGGGGAGCAGCACTTCTACAAAGTGCGGCTTGCAATTCTTTTCAAGTGCGTTCCCAACCGGACATTGCCTTGTTCCACGAATGAGATGTGATAAATGTGTATTTGTTGAATGGTATTTGAACTGTTCAAAAATGCTCATTCGAGCGGAGATGGTGTGGTGACAGGAGGGGCCACTGCCGCGCATATGGTCTCTGGATCGAATCCCAGCTCAAACCCAGCGCGCGTCAGCCAAATTTCTACAGATGATTAGTTGTTGCTAGGAGCGACTGTTACTACACAAAACACATCGATAACTTGTTTCTAAAAAAGTCGTAGTCTAAGGGTTAACTTACGCCTAACCGCTACGTATGCGCGGTGTGGACTCTTCCTTTGCCGCGCTTGTGCCTCTTCCTGCGCCACACGACGGGCTTTTTGGAGGACACCCAAAAATTATTTCATGTTCGCACCTACATACATTCGATAGGGGAGGTTATCCGTGCATAGGGGTGCGGCAGCGTGTGATCAGGTGCCAAAGATACTGATTCGTTGCGATTTCTTGGAGAGGCTGGCTCTAGAAGTCAAGCCAAGACAAGTAGGCCCTGCGAGTGTATGTAATGCGCCACCGTGATGGGTTTTGCCTCCATGAGGACGTGCTAGCTGTGGAATGGTTGAGGTGCAGGTGTCTGTGTGTGGTTAGGTTGAAGCGAATGGTGGCTGTCTGATTTCATTGTCGCTAGTTCAAACGAAACCGAATAGATACGGTCCAGCAATACTACCGTGCTGAGAGTCAGGAAAGGAGCTTTGTACTGAAACAAATCTGAAGCAGAAAACCACATTCATTGCGAGACTGCAGTTGCACTGGTGGAAGCGCGATGTTGGAGTGATATCAACCATTGCAATTATGTCTCTAACCTCTCAAAATCAACTGCCAGGATGAGGGCTTCAGCGCTCAAGTTTTTGGAGCTTCTTGGTTCTTCCTCTAGTGTTCTCTAGTGGAAATGCTCAGCACATCTTTCATTCTTCCATCGCTCTACCTGGAGCTGGGCGGAAGTGGTGTAGTGGCAAGTGGCGCGCTTACCACGCGAGCGGTCCGGGGATCAAATCCTGGGTCGTGAGTCGCCCGGGCCAACCAAGCCTTCCATCCCTCCGGGGTCGGTTAATTGGTACCAGACTTGTCTGGGAGGATAAAAACACTGACTTGTACATCGGCTGGCCCCCGCAAGTCATTGTATAGGCCACATCGCATTCAAATACTACTAAATGGAAGTAGAATGCGTGCCGCATCCCAAAAAGGGATTGATCAACGGCAAATGCTTTATCCTTTTTATCCTGCCTAGAGCTGGGCTAGCGTACCAAACACAGTGACCCAACATGGAGGATTTAACCATATATAGTGAAAAGTGATTGACAGATCATTCAGGAAATGGATCAGTTGAAATAAGTTCACCAATTTAAATGATCCACTCATTCTAAGCGATTTCTACAGCAGTTACATGTAGCTTTCAAGATGTATTCCTTACAGGTGCTGAGGCCGGCAGTCACTCGTTCACGATACACCGATCATTGCCAGAAGAGGATCAAGACGATTCTAAAGTTGCTTATAATTGCTTCCCAATGATGTATTTATTCCAAAATCCTCACTATTCAGACTGCCACCATTAGCGATCTTCGGCGCAAATTCGAGAGTTCTGCTCAGAGGAAGCCGTCTTACAGCCTGGGATATGCAAAAAGCTCCTGGAAAAATGAGGTATGATCGTATATAAATTGTTTCATTGATTTGTTTACTTAATTTATTAAATTTCCTCGCTACCTCGCTCTGTGTGTGTCTGTGTATCGTTAGGTCAAGACGCGGCAACGCGCGCGCCACGCGCGGCTCTTGAGTGAGCTACGTAGCTCGCCTTGTTATCAATGCGAATATACCGCGCAGCACACCGCAAATTTGCGTCACGCCGGGATCTAACAATGCACCTCCCTTAATTCCTTTTGTTACCTTTGCAGTTACGCGGTGGCCACACCACATTCTTCTGGAGTATCACCTGACCCGGGCCAGCGCCTGGGCAGTTCAATAAAGTGGGAATTTAGGGTGTCCCCCAAGAGGCATCGCTCGGCGAAGGAAGAGACGCAGCGCGGCAAAGTCTGTGTCGC